ACCAACCCAGCAAGTACAACTCTCACCATAAATCCCAGCAAGTACAACTCCCAAATGTCAAGGTCTATTTTCCCCAAATTCCACCAGTGTTCATATTTGGGAACATTGAGTACCCGTGCCAAGTTGGGTCCAGATCCATCATTGGATGTAGGTGAACTACAACTCCAAAACTCAAGGTTAAGGCCCACCAAACCCTTCCAGTATTTTCTGTTGGTTGTGGGAGTTCTGTGTACCAAGTTTGATTTAATTCCATCGCTGGTGGAGTTCAGAATGCTGTTTGATTGTAGGAGAACTATAAATACCAGCAAGCACAACTTCCAAATGTCAAGGTCTTTTTCCTCAAACTCCACCAGTATTCACATCTGGGCATATTGAGTATCCATGCCAAGTTTGGTCCAGATCCATCATTGTTTGATTCCACAGTGCTCTCTGGATGTAGGTGAACTACAACTCCAAAATTCAAGGTCATTGATCGCCAAACCCTTTGAGTATATCTGCTGGTAATGGGAGTTCTGTGTGCCAAGTTTGGTTCAATTCAATCACTGGTGGAGTTCAGAATGCTCTTTGATTATAGGTGAACTATACATCCCAGCAAGTACAACTCCGAAATGTCAAGGTCTTTTTCCTCAAACTCCACCAGTGTTCCCATCATTGTTTGATTCCACGGTGCTTTCTGGATGTAGGTGAACTACAACTCCAAAATGCAAGGTCAGTGCCCACCAAACCCTTCCAGTATTTTCTATTGGTCACAGGAGTTCTGTGTGATAAGTTTGGTTCAATTCCATCACTGGTGGAGTTCAGAATATTCTTTGATTGTAGGTGAACTATAAATCCCAGCAAGCACAACTCCCAAATGTCAAGGTCTTTTTCTTCAAACTCCACCAGTGTTCACATTTGGGCATATTGAGTATGCGTGCCAAGTTTGGTCCAGATCCATCATTGTTTGAGTCCATAGTGATCTCTGGATGTAGGTGAACTACAACTCCAAAACTCAAGGTCAATGCCTGCCAAACCCTTCGAGTATTTTTGCTGGTCGTGGGAGTTCTGTGTGCCAAGTTTGATTCAATTCCATCGCTGGTGGAGTTCATAATGCTCTTTGCTTGTAGGTGAACTATAAATCCCAACAACTACAATAACAGAATCAATCCCCCTACCCCCACCAGTATTCAAATTTGGGTGTATGGGGTATTTGTGCCAAATTTGGTCCAGTGAATGAGAATACATCCTACTTATCAGATATTTACATGACGTTTCATGTTGTTCATTCGTTCAGTCATCTCCAACTCTTCGTGACCTCATGGACCAGCCTACGCCAGTGCTCCCTGTCAGCCGTCACCACCCCCAGCTCCTTCAAGGTCAGTCCAATCCCTTCAAGGATGCCACCCATCCATCTTGCCCTTGGTCGGCCCCTCTTCCTTTTGCCTTCCACTTTCCCCAGCATAATTGTCTTCTGACGATTCATAGCAGTAGCAAAATGACAGTTATGAACTAGCAACTAAAATAATGTTTTGGTTGGGGGTCACCACAACATGAGGAACTGTCTTAAGGGGTTGTGGTATCAGGAAGGTTGAGAAACACTGCTCTAGGAACTCCTAGGTCTTCCAGCATGGCTCTAGGGTCAATATCTGCTGGACACTGACCACGGAATCACACTGGTGTCCCCTCAAAAGTATATTTCCAAGGCCTTGTCCATGTTATCCATGCGGAGACATACTCCAGCCTCATGATGCCTTGTTCAAGGCTAGGAAAGGTTAGCATGAATGGAGTTCTAGTATGGGGTCAAGAGGACAAGTCGAGGCTTGAAAGGAAGCTCTTTGCCCCCTGGTCTTTCTTCATCACAGCAAACTCCTTCCTTTTAAAAACAGCCTGGAAAACATGGGCAAATTCTGCACACCCTTCTCCCAAAGTGACCCGAATTGTCTGTAAACAAAAACGCCTCCGGTTTCACCTGCATCGTGTTTCTCATGCTCATTTTTTAGGTCTCTTTGGCAACTGTTGTATGTAAGCAAGAGCAACAACAAACCAATGGCTTGTTTGCCACATTCCGGCGGGGAGGGGTGTGTGTGAATAGTCTGTGGGTTGCTAGGAATTTTCCTCCCTCTCTCTCCCTCTTCGCTGACAGCGTCGACGACAGCGCCTGCGACAGTTGCCAGGGCCACGCACGGTTGCCTTTGCTGCAGAACGGGATTGTGCAGAGCTGCAACGGCAGCGGCTACTTCTTGCAGAGGATGGCTTTTCTGTGCATGGTGCAGCCATCTGTGCAACCAAGTTCAAGCCTGACGACACAGCCCATTTGTTGTCTTCAACCCCACCAAACTCTGACAAAAGTGGTGTAACTTATCTGGTCAGCAATATTCAAAATATCCCCTAAAAGAATCTAGTACAATCCTAGAGTGTGCCATTTCACACAAAGGTCTTATCACTCCAACTTCTCCAGTTCTCTGCAGGTAGAAAGCACACAGCCTTGTTCCTGATGCACTAGCTTGCTACATGCAGGGAGTTAGGTAACATGAATTGAAGTGATTCCTCATCAAAAGCACCTTCAGACTGCTGCAATAAAGTAAAGAATATCATTGTCTCTGCCAATCAATATCAATCCTCTCTGTCACCAGGATATTATCATCGCTACCACCAGAATATTACCCTCTCTACTACTTAAATATTGTCAACTCTGCTGTCAGAACATTGCCATCTCTGTCACCAGACTATAATAATCACAACCATCAGAATATCACCATCTCTTTCACCAGAATATTGTCATCTCTGCCACCAGAATATTGTCATCTCTGCCATTAGAGCAACTATTCTGCCACCGGAATATAATCATCTCTGCCACCAGAATATCACCATCTTTGCCACCAGAGTATCGCCGTCTCTACTACAACAATATCACCCTCTCTACTACTAAAATATCATCAACTCTGCTGCCACAACAGCATAATTTCTGACATTAGAATATCATAATCTCTGCCACCAGAATACAACAATTTATTCCACCAGAATATAATAATCTCTCCCGCCAGAAGAGCATCCTTTCTGCCACCAGAATATTAAAATCTCTGCTACCAGAATATCATCATCTCTTCCACCAGAGTATCACCATCTCTATTACCACAATATTGAAGTCTCTACTACTAAAATATCATCCTCTGCTGTCAGAATATAGCCATCTCTGCCACCAGAATATCACTATCCCTGCTGCTAGAATATCACCATCTCTGATGCCAAAAGATGGTCATCTCTGCCACCAGAATATCACCATCTCTGCCACCAGAATATCGCCATCTCTGCCACCAGAATATCACCATCTCTGCCACCAGAATATCGCCATCTCTGCGACTAGAATATCACCATCTCTGCCACTGGAATATCACCATCTCTGAAACCAGAATATTGCCATCTCTGTGACTAGAATATCACCATCTCTGCCACCGGAATATCACCATCTCTGCCACTGGAATATCACCATCTCTGCCACCAGAATATTTCCATCTCTGCCACTGGAATATCACCATCTCTGCCACTGGAATATTGCCATGTGTACCACCAGAATATCACTATCTCTGCTGCTAGAATATTGCCATCTCTGCCACCAGAATATCACAATCTCTGCCACTGGAATATCACAATCTCTGCCACCAGAATATCACCATCTCTGCCACCAGAATATCACCATCTCTGCCACTGGAATATCACAATCCCTGCTGCCAGAATATCACCATCTCTGAAACCAGAATATCACCACCTCTGCCACCAGAATATCACCATCTCTGCCACTGGAATATCACAATCCCTGCTGCCAGAATATCACCATGTCTGCCACCAGAATATCACCATGTCTGCCACCAGAATATCACCATGTCTGCCGCCAGAATATCACCATGTCTGCCACTGGGATATAATAATTATGATAATAATAATAATAATAATAATAATAATCATCATCATCATCATCATCATCATCATCATTATCATCAACAACATCTTTATTTATACCCCGCCACCATCTCCCCAAGGAGGACTCAGGGCGGCTAACATGAGGCCAAGCCCAAAATTTCAACAGATAGCATACAAATTCAGCAAAATAAAATACAAAGAAGTAAAATACCATCAAAATAAATACATACATAACATAACATAACGAAATGAAATAAACAGTTCCAGAATGGCATGAAAGAAAAAAAGAACCACCTCTGCCACCAGAATATCGCCATCTCTGCCACCAGAATATTGCCACCTCTGCTATCAAAATATCACCATATCTACCTCCAAAATATAATAATCTCTGCCACCAGAATATCGCCATCTCTGCCACCAGTCACCATCTCTACTACCACAGTATCGCACTCTCTACTACTAAAATATCATCAACTCTGCTGTCAGAATATTGCAATCTCTGCCACCACAGTATAGCCATCTCTGCCACCAAAATACAATAATTTCTTCCACCAGAATATAATAATCTCTGCCGCCAGAAGAACATCCTTTCTGCTGCCAGAATATAATGATCTCTGCCACCAGAGTATCACCATCTCTACTACCACAATATCATAGTCTCTACTACTAAAATATCATCAACTCTGCTGTAGGAATATTGCCATCTCTGCCACCAGAATATCACCATCTCTGCCACCAGAACATCGCTATCTCTGCCGCCATAATATTGCCATCTTTGCCACCAGACTATTGTCAACTCTACCACCAGAATATCACCATCTCTACTTCCAGAATATAGCACCATCTCTACCTCCTCTGCTGTCAAATACCACCTTCTCTGCCGCCAGGATACACCTCTGCTCAAACATGGCTGTGTGTTATATATAGTCAAGGTGAATTGACTCATTTAGGAAGCCAGCGTTTGCAAGACCTGAGTAGAGCAGTTGATGGCCAGAGAGTTTTGAGATCTCTCATTCAGAAACCAAAGCCAACTTTTTTGAAAATAACAACAGTGCCCTCATCAACTCAAGAGCCCATCACCATCTATGATGTGGGAGATGTACCTTGGATATATAATAGACACACTGCTGAAAGGTGTACATGATGACTTCCTCAAGAACCGTCATGGCTTCCTCGCTGGCAGTAATCGTCAGGGAAAAGAGGGACTCCTTGGAACCTAAAACAAGGAAAAAGAAGACATGGGAAAAAGCCTTGGATTTCAGGAATCAATTGTTGTTGAAAATGTGGGTTTTGATTTTTTTAATTGTTGTTACATTACAATAACACTATAACATTTCTCTTATAGTGCAGTAAAATCTGTCTGTTGCCCAAAGCTACCATGCTATGTGTTGGGAATCAATTTGTGTTTGTGTTGCAAGATCATGATGCTTATAATGAGAGTAATGATGGTGCCGAGGCTGAGGCTGAGGTGCAAGATGGAGATGGTTTGGTCAATGATTTTCATAAAGACAATGACAGAGAGGCCCCATTGCAAAGGACAGTTTCTCATAAGAATATTCCTGCTGAGCCTCGGGATGATGGTTTACTCCCTCTCTCTGTGAGCTCTCAAAATTAGGGTTTAGAAAACAATCTGATACTTGGAAATTTTAATGAGCAGCCAGATAGGGAGTTAAAGGATAGGCGGCTGGAGATCAGCCAGGATGGAAAGCAAACTTAATGTTTACGTCGCTCTGAAAGGCTTCGTCAGATAAGGGACAAGTGTGGGGGAAAGCGAAACCAATTTCTCGGTTTTGGGATATAAGGTTTGCTTCAAGGGAAAACCTGTTAGATCAGGCATCGTTTGGAAATCAAGTTCATATGCCATGGAAATCCTGTTCAAGGAGTCTTGTTCATGTGGAGAATTTTAGCCTTTTGGGTTGTCTTTGCTTCTTGTTGCTTCCTGCCTGGATAAACACTGCCTTGGAACTGTTTTTATATCTTGTGTGGACATTGCTTTGTGTTATTGCATTTTACTGACTCGTTACTTTTTTGGAACCTTCTTATTTCCTTACAAGCATTTATTTTTACTGGCCATTTACTAAGCTTCGATAAAAGAGGATTTGTTTCTTCACTGATAGTGTGGTGTGTTTTAAAGTCAGAGGGCTTTTTCCTGACCTGGAGTACAACACTATGGAATATTCTTAGAAGAAGTCGCAAAGAATTGGTTAGTTCTTTCCCCCAATGGGCATGATCCAGGACGAATGTCATTACCAACCTTACCTTTGATATCCAACTCTTCCTCCATGTTTTGGATGTAAACTGGGGACTTCTGCTGGACAAAGTAGAGGACTTCGATGGAGTTGGACATCCAGAAGATGATGTGTTGGAGGTCCGGGAGGAGGTCTGTGATGGTGAAACGGGACAGCGATGCTGGATCCTGGCTGACGAGAGGAGGGCAGAGTTACAAAGGCATCCCAGCACAGCCCAAGATGTCCATGCACTTCTTCCCTTTGCTCCTTTGTACTGAATTCCAGTCTCCAAGGGGAATCTTTGCCCCTTGGCAGCAAAAGAGAAACTTCCTGGGAATACTGGAACAGTTTTTGTAAAAGATATACTATCACTAATAGGGCTTCGTGGAGCACAGTTTGAGAACCCCTGCTCTAGCCAATCCAAATGGAAATGTTAGCTTCTCTAATATTGTACGAGTCCACAGAAGATAGATAGATAGATCTCATAGCGTTGAAAGAGACTACATGGGCCATCTAATCCAAGTACATTGTGCCATGTACAATCAAAGCACCCCTGACAGATGGCCATCCAGCATCCAGTTCAAAGCCTCTAAGGAAGGAGCTTCAACTGGACTCCGAGGAAGAGGGTTCCACTGTTGAACAGCTCTTATGTTCAGGAAGTTCTTCCTAATGTTCAAGTGGAACCTCCTTTTCTTTCATCTGAACCTATCCCCCCCGGAGAAAGAAGCAGGCAGGAGTCCGCTATATAGACGAGTGAATAAATAAAATCATAAAGGCATATTTCTCCATTGCAACCTGCCTCTGACAAGATGATAGGCATCTGGCACACATCCAGGCCATTACATGACAGCTCCCTCCCTGCCAATAAGATTGTCTCCAATTATCTAAATCCAATGTTTTTGCTTTTCGGTATGAAAAGATACACACGCCTCCCAAACCGCACAACTCTTCTCGAACGGATTGTCTTAAACTGAGTCCCTCTGATGTGGTGAAAGATATCGCAGTCCTGCCGTGTGTTTCTGGGCGCTGCCGTCAAATGTTTAGAGGAAAGATAACGGAGGAATGAAATGATAACAACGGCATGGATAATACGTGTCTGCTGCAGTTGCTGCGCAAACACGATAAAGTAACAATGAGCCCCAGCCAAAACAGAACAAGGCGGCTGTCACTAACAACAGGCGGGTTTATCTATTCCCATGCTTCACCCATTCGAAGTCTGGATGCCAGTTTTCGGAGTCGAACAACAAAGGAAAGCAATCCAAGTTCTTTCTGTAGGCATCTTTTGTGCCAAAGCAAGCGGGAATTGGAGGCTGGCTTTATGGGACATGCAACTGTCACAACAATGACTATTATTTCCCAAACACCTCTCCCTGTGGATCAAGGCAAGGACTATACACATAATAAAAGGGAAAATATGTATGTGTATTAGGCATGGTTAGGTACCGTCAGAATCTTCGTAATTCGGAATAAAGTCGGAAAAATTACCTTTTTGAAGCGATTTTGAAGTTTTTAAGAAAACCGCAAGTCCCTTTGCTCTTCCGAAGCTCTTTCCGCCATTTTTGTTACGACTCATGAAGTGAGATGGAAATTATTCAGCTTTTCCCTACTTCTGGTCCCTGGCCTCGGCTCAAGCCAGAGAAGCCAGTCTTAAACCAGAGAAGGAAGGAATTTCTTGGCCTTGGCTCAAGCCAGAGAAGGCACTTTTAAAGCCAGAGAAGGCACTTTTAAAGCCAGAGAAGCCAGTTTTAAACCAGAGAAGGAAGGAATTCCCTGGCCTCGACTCAAGCCAGAGAAGGCACTTTTAAAACCAGAGAAGCCAGTTTTAAACCAGAGAAGGAAGGAATTCCCTGGCCTCGACTCAAGCCAGAGAAGGCACTTTTAAAACCAGAGAAGCCAGTTTTAAAGCAGAGAAGGAAGGAATTCCCTGGCCTCGACTCAAGCCAGAGAAGGCACATTTAAAGCCAGAGAAGCCAGTTTTAAACCAGAGAAGGAAGGAATTCCCTGGCCTCGGCTCAAGCCAGAGAAGGCACATTTAAAGCCAGAGAAGCCAGTTTTAAACCAGAGAAGGAAGGAATTTCCTGGCCTCGACTCAAGCCAGAGAATACAGTTTTAAACCAGAGAAGGAAGGAATTTCCTGGCCCGGCTCAAGCCAGAGAAGCCAGTTTTAAACCAGAGAAGGAAGGAATTTCCTGGCCTCAGCTCAAGCCAGAGAAGGCACTTTTAAAACCAGAGAAGCCAGTTTTAAACCAGAGAAGGAAGGAATTTCCTGGACCCGGCTGAAGCCAGAGAAGCCAGTTTTAAACCAGAGAAGGAAGGAATTCCCTGGCCTCGACTCAAGCCAGAGAAGGCACTTTTAAAACCAGAGAAGCCAGTTTTAAACCAGAGAAGGAAGGAATTCCCTGGCCTCGACTCAAGCCAGAGAAGGCACTTTTAAAACCAGAGAAGCCAGTTTTAAACCAGAGAAGGAAGAAATTTCCTGGCCTCGGCTCAAGCCAGAGAAGCCAGTTTTAAAGCCAGAGAAGCCAGTTTTAAACCAGAGAAGGAAGGAATTTCCTGGCCCGGCTCAAGCCAGAGAAGCCAGTTTTAAACCAGAGAAGGAAGGAATTCCCTGGCCTCGACTCAAGCCAGAGAAGGCACTTTTAAAACCAGAGAAGCCAGTTTTAAACCAGAGAAGGAAGGAATGTCCTGGACCCGGCTCAAGCCAGAGAAGCCAGTTTTAAACCAGAGAAGGAAGGAATTTCCTGGCCTCGGCTCAAGCCAAAGAAGGCACTTTTAAAGCCAGAGAAGCCAGTTTTAAACCAGAGAAGGAAGGAATTTCCTGGCCTCGGGTCAAGCCAGAGAAGGCACATTTAAAGCCAGAGAAGCCAGTTTTAAACCAGAGAAGGAAGGAATTTCCTGGCTTCGGCTCAAGCCAAAGAAGCCACTTTTAAAGCCAGAGAAGCCAGTTTTAAACCAGAGAAGGAAGGAATTTCCTGGCCTCGGCTCAAGCCAGAGAGGCCAGTTTTAAACCAGAGAAGGAAGCCATAGAAGGCGCTTTTAAAGCCAGAGAAGCCAGTTTTAAACCAGAGAAGGAAAGGATTTCCTGGCCTCAGCTCAAGCCAGAGAAGGCACTTTTAAAGCCAGAGAAGCCAGTTTTAAAGCCAGAGAAGGAAAGGATTTCCTGGCCTCAGCTCAAGCCAGAGAAGGCACTTTTAAAGCCAGAGAAGCCAGTTTTAAAGCCAGAGAAGGAAGGAATTTCCTGGCCTCAGCTCAAGCCAGAGAAGGCACTTTTAAAGCCAGAGAAGCCAGTTTTAAAGCCAGAGAAGGAAGGAATTTCCTGGCCTCAGCTCAAGCCAGAGAAGGCACTTTTAAAGCCAGAGAAGGCACTTTTAAACCAGAGAAGGAAGGAATTTCCTGGCCTCGGCTCTAGCCAGAGAAGCCACTTTTAAAGCCAGAGAAGCCCATTTTAAACCAGAGAAGGAAGGAATGTCCCGGACTTGGCTCAAGCCAGAGAAGGCGCTTTTAAAGCCAGAGAAGCCAGTTTTAAACCAGAGAAGGAAAGGATTTCCTGGCCTCAGCTCAAGCCAGAGAAGGCACTTTTAAAGCCAGAGAAGCCAGTTTTAAAGCCAGAGAAGGAAAGGATTTCCTGGCCTCAGCTCAAGCCAGAGAAGGCACTTTTAAAGCCAGAGAAGGCACTTTTAAACCAGAGAAGGAAGGAATTTCCTGGCCTCGGCTCAAGCCAGAGAAAGCACTTATAAACCAGAAAAGGAAGGAATTCCTTGGCCTCTGCTCAAGCCCGAGAAGGCACTTTTAAAGCCAGAGAAGCCAGTTTTAAACCAGAGAAAGAAGGAATTTCCTGGCCTTGGCTCAAGCTAGAGAAGGCAATTTTAAAGCCAGAGAAGCTAGTTTTAAACCAGAGAAGGAAGGAATTTCCTTGGCCTCTGCTCAAGCCCGAGAAGGCACTTTTAAAGCCAGAGAAGCCAGTTTTAAAGCAGAGAAAGAAGGAATTTCCTGGCCTTGGCTCAAGCTAGAGAAGGCAATTTTAAAGCCAGAGAAGCTAGTTTTAAACCAGAGAAGGAAGGAATTTCCTGGCCTCAGCTCAAGCCAGAGAAGGCACTTTTAAAGCCAGAGAAGGCACTTTTAAACCAGAGAAGGAAAGGATTTCCTGGCCTCGGCTAAAGCCAGAGAAGGCACTTTTAAAGCCAGAGAAGCCAGTTTTAAACCAGAGAAGGAAAGAATTTCCTGGCCTCAGCTCAAGCCAGAGGAGCCAGTTTTAGAGAGCAAGTTTTAAAGCCAGAGAAGCCAGTTTTAAACCAGAGAAGGAAGGAATTTCCTGGCCTCGGCTCAAGCCAGAGAAGGCACTTTTAAAGCCAGAGAAGCCAGTTTTAAAGCCAGAGAAGGAAGGAATTTCCTGGCCTCAGCTCAAGCCAGAGAAGGCACTTTTAAAGCCAGAGAAGGCACTTTTAAACCAGAGAAGGAAGGAATTTCCTGGCCTCGGCTCTAGCCAGAGAAGCCACTTTTAAAGCCAGAGAAGCCCATTTTAAACCAGAGAAGGAAGGAATGTCCCGGACTTGGCTCAAGCCAGAGAAGGCGCTTTTAAAGCCAGAGAAGCCAGTTTTAAACCAGAGAAGGAAAGGATTTCCTGGCCTCAGCTCAAGCCAGAGAAGGCACTTTTAAAGCCAGAGAAGCCAGTTTTAAAGCCAGAGAAGGAAGGAATTTCCTGGCCTCAGCTCAAGCCAGAGAAGGCACTTTTAAAGCCAGAGAAGGCACTTTTAAACCAGAGAAGGAAGGAATTTCCTGGCCTCGGCTCAAGCCAGAGAAAGCACTTATAAACCAGAAAAGGAAGGAATTCCTTGGCCTCTGCTCAAGCCCGAGAAGGCACTTTTAAAGCCAGAGAAGCCAGTTTTAAACCAGAGAAAGAAGGAATTTCCTGGCCTTGGCTCAAGCTAGAGAAGGCAATTTTAAAGCCAGAGAAGCTAGTTTTAAACCAGAGAAGGAAGGAATTTCCTGACCTCGGCTCAAGCTAGAGAAGGCACTTTAAAGCCAGAGAAGCCAGTTTTAAACTAGAGAAGGAAGGAATTTCCTGGCCTCGGCTCAAGCCAGAGAAGGCACTTTTAAAGCCAGAGAGGCCAGTTTTAAACCAGAGAAGGAAGGAATTTCCTGGCCTCGGCTCAAGCCAGAGAAGGCACTTTTAAAGCCAGAGAAGCCAGTTT